TTGTAGGCATAGTTCATACAATTCTGCAGCCTAAAACAAGACATCTCCGTTCTGTAATAGGGAGATTTCATGACTTTCTCAGAAAGAGATAGGTTTATGGAGAAGGCCTCCACAAATATCATGGGAGAGCTCTTGAATTCCTGGAGAAACTTTGTCCAGGTTAACTGACATTTTTTTGTCCCCTGTCGAGTTTCTCCCATTCAGATGCAAATATTTCTTGGGAACTTGCTGACAAAAGAACACAAAAGAAGGCATCTTTCAAGTCTAATAGAGTATACCAAGTTTGACTAGGTGGGAGTAGGATAAGCAGGGTATAGGGATTCAGAGGTATAAGGTGAAAGTGGTGACTGCATTATTCACAGCCTGAAGAACCTGGACTGGTCTGTATTCATTGGTTCCAGATTTTTGCACAAGTAGGAATGGTATATTCCAAAGGGGTTGGCATTCTTTTAATATTCCTGCATCAAGTAACTTCTCTATGTGGTATTTAATCCCCTTCCATGCCTCCATTGTCATAGGATATTGTCTTAAGCATACTTGCTTAGTATGCCCCACCAATTCTACCACTATAGGAGGTATGTGGACTGCCAAACCCAGGGAGTTGTCTTTCTCCAAAACTAGAGGAAAATGCTGAGTCCACTAAGGGAGTTCATGGTCACCCAACAAGAGTCCACTCTTGTCTAGCTCGCTGAGGCAGTATTACTCCTTTAAGGAAAGGTTACAACCAAAACATCAGCTTCAGCAGAAGGAAACACTTCTCTGGTAGTCAGGATGATTCCTGAGGGAGAGAAAGAAATTTGAGCTCGTAGCTTGTCAAGTAAGTCTAGGCCCAGAAAGATAGGCATAAGCATAAAAGTGACTAACCATTTGTTATTCAAGGTGGACCTGCTGAGGTGTGCAAAAAGAATAAGATGTTTGGCCAGTTGCCCCCGTACACTTATTTTCTTGCTTAGAAGTGGAGCCCCTGGCTGAGTGACTATGGATATATGGCTCCCATATCCACAAGGAAATGAACAGACTTTCCTCCAAAAGTCATGGATAACTTGGGTTCCTTGGGGGCCAGAGACAGGGACCCGTGACCCTGTCAATCTGAAACTTCCCCTGCATCTACCCTAAGCACTTCATTTTTCTTTTTCTGTAGCAACTTTGGGCATTCCTGCTTACAGTATACCATCTCTTTGCAGTAGACACACTGGTTTGACTTCAATAGGACACGTCTCCCTCCTTGTTGGGATCGCTTCCCATCTTGTTTCTTACTTCTGCCCCTGCCTATGCCTCCTTCTTACGAGTTGCTTACATCATCTTTATCTGTTCCTTCTGAGCTTTCCACTTTCTGTCCTTTCTACTGTTGTAAACCTGTGGAGCTACCTCTATTAACTGAGCTATAGTCATTTCAGCAAATCTGCCCCATCTCTGCAGTTTGTGGTGATATAATAAAAGACATGTTCATCACACGAGCATTTCCAGCCTGTAGGGGATTATATGGTGTGAACATGCAGTAAGCTTCCCATAGGTACTTGAGGAAAGCAGAAGGGCTCCTGTTGGCCGCCTGGCATACCTCTCCCACCCTTGTCAAATTTGTGGGTTGCTGGGCTGCTGAATGAAGGCCTTTCAGTAAAGCCACATGGTAATCATTCAAACTCTTAATCCCATCGTCTGTGTTGGGATTTCAGTTTGGCATTTCCTGGGGCAGCACACATCTCAGCCTGTCTGTAACTTCCTGTGGTGTTCTTGGCCCTTCTACTTCTACAGAGTCTTCTTTCTCCTTCCATATTCTGTCTCTTCCTTCTGAGGTGAATATGGTATAAAGCACTTGTTGACAGTCAATCCAATTGGGGCACTAAGTCTTAGACACTGATTTCACTAAATTAATCAGAGTGTGTGGCTGCTCAGTGAATGGGGGATTTTGAATTTTCCAGTTACACAATTCACTAGAGCTGAAAGGGGTGTAAATGAAAGTGGTCTGAACTGCCCTTTCAGGTCCTGACACTGCCATATTCCAGAGAGACAAAACAGAAACTGGCAAGGAGGATGACACTTCCTCTAGAGTGGGTGGTGCCCTTTCATCTGTGTACCACATAGTCCCTCCCAAATTGGAACTTGCCTGGAACTTGGTGTCTCAGAACTCAGGTTCCACATGCTGCACAGTCCCTCTCATATTTGGACCCCTTGAGCGGAACTCAGTTTGCCAGAAGTCAGGCTCCATATGCTGTGCACTCTCTCTTGTCTTTGGACCCACTGAGTGGAACTCGGTGTCTTGGGAATCTGGTTCTGCCCACTCCACTGTGAGTCCCCGGAGATGTCAGATAAGTTGGAGGCTGAGATGGAGCGAAAGGAGTCAACAGCTTCATCTCTGTTGATGAAGTCACTACAGGTAGCTTCACATTAAACAGTCTCCTGAATTACCAGCACCCATTTAGGAAGACTCCAAACACATATTTTAAGACAGGGAGAGGACATGTGAACTACTTTTATCCGGGAATTGATATGTGGAAACTGATCTGGATGCCCTGAGTTTCTGCTAACGACATTCCGCACCCTATTGACTATGTGAAGGTCGAGTGTTCACTCTGCAGGCCAACCTACCTCAAAGGCAGGCCATTTAAATTTGCGAAATGCCCAGAGTTTCCTTTTCCTCATCTTAACCCCATAGTCACTATCACATTTGAATTTATCAAAATTGCTGAGTATGTATCACAGTACAGTTGGTTTATTCCCAGCAGATCCTGTTGTTACCACAACTAACAAACACATGAATCTTGCAGTCTGTTTCAGTGAGTCCCATCTCCCTTCCTTTTTCTCAACCTGCCAGGTTAGAAATAAAAGGGAAAGTCCAAGGTGAGTAGAGCTTGAAAGGATGATGACAGTGACCTCTGCTGGCAGTGGGCTGGAAACCCATGTGCTTGATGTGGAGACAGACACATAAAAGACAGATGACTGGGAGAAACTCTTCTCCACCATGATCTCGAAATTTGGAGCAAACTTGGGGAAGTTCCCTGACAAACATGCAAATTGTGTAGTATCCTACGCTCTTCTCAGGTTCAACAAACAACCAAATCTTGGCACAAAACAAAACAAATTCCTGAGTGAGCCGTATGCCAGTTGCCTAATTAGAAAAACAAAACCAAATTACAAGAGCATACCTTGGTCTGGGGGGGGGGTAGGCACTCAGTTGTTTCCATCTCATGGCTGTAGGCATCCATTCCCTCAGCCATTTCCGGAAGCTGGCTGAAACCAGCCAGGGCACCTGCTACACAGGTATTGGCTGCCTGGCACTGCTGTCCCCTTCAAAGGAGAGTGGCCTTGTGGGCAATCTCGCTGGGGCCCCCAGAATGTTATGGTATTCTCAAGAAATATATCCACATGACACCGAGTTCCAGAAACAAATGAGGTTTATTTCAAACTGCAGTGGTCATTCAGCTTTCACCAGTGGAACTCCTGGCTACTGACTGGCTGGTGTTGACTAACTTTGTTCCCTTCTATTATAAATCCCTGTATGAGTTTACAAGGTCAGGGAGTTTCCATGGATACCACCTTCTTTTAGCACTGTCATTGCTTTGGAATGTTACAAGACCTTCTTACACATCTCGTTCATTGACACACAGAATGTGGGCTCCAGGCAGTTTGGTGCCTTGAAATAAACCCATTTGTTTCTCTTTCCTTAGTTTTTATGGCCAATTAAGGGAGAAGAGGAGACTTTTTGGGGATTTGGCCAAAGTTCACTCACGGAGATCTAACTGCTAACTAGGCATCTAAAATATTATCTAGGGGCCAGGGGTTTAGCTCAGCAGAATAAGCACCTGCCTGTTGAGTGCATGGTAGTGAGTTTGATCCCCAATACCAAAAACAAAAACAAAAAGTGTGGCTAAAGTATAATCTATAAAAAGTAAAGTTTTAAAAACTGGGGTTTAGGGGGTTTCAAAAAAAACAGAAAAGAAAACAAATGTGTTACGAACACTCTCACAAATATGAAATAATCAGAACCATTAGTATTGCAAATGTTAGAAAAATTGATGAAGTGGCAGTAGAGAGGTTAAAATTGAATTTCAGAAACTACACTGTAAAATGTGGTCAAGAAGGTTTGTATTTACTACTTAAGAGACACCCTAGGAATTGGAGACAAAGGAAACAAAGGGTGTTATTTATGTCCTACTGTTTTTCTTTTACCTTAAAGTTGAGCTTCACTCCTGATGAAACATGGAGATGCTGCAGTTGACAGTAGAATGTCATGCTCTTTTGTCAGCTACTGATTTAACCATTGAAGTATAGTTCTTGGCAAATTGACAGTGCTTCCATTAGATACTCCCACACATGTTTTCCGTTCTTCTTCTTACCACCTAATCCTCATTTTTTTCCTTTTGTCTTGTTTTCTTCCCTCTTACATGCTCCATTCACTTAGGATTTTAAAATGGATCTGAAGATTTGAAATTTTAAGGAAAATTTGTGTGTTTCTTTCAGTTGTGATATGATATTCAAAACTATACATCCTGAAACAAATGGCAATCTAGATTGACTTTTCTTAGTGGCAGTTGTGCCCTTATTTCCTTATTATTGTCCCCTTTCCCCCTACTAACATCAGCATTTTGATTATCATATTGTCATCATCATCATGTGAATCTTTGGAAAACGTATCAAGTACTTAAGTGTAATTCACTTATAAAAAGTGTGTCCCATATAAATTCCTTCTTCCTAGTTTTATTATTTGAAAATTTCTCATAACTAGTACTATCTGAAATATTCTATATTGTGCTAGTTCTTTATAGCTTATGTCTCTTTTTTTTTTGGTATGGTGTTTTAAGCACTTGGTTTTTCTGGAATTTTCTTTGCATTTCTTGTTTTCTCTCATCTTTATGAATTTCTTTGTTTTACCCAAATTTCAAGAAAGTAAAATGCTAAAGAGTTCATATGTATTTGGTTATATGTTTTCCTTAAAGTCAAGAAGTGTGACAGGATAGATACTTAAGTACTGTTACTTAAGGCTTATTTCTTAATCTCTCCAGGAAAAAAAAGAGAGACTATCCAAACTTGAGTCTATTCGTCATTCAATTGCTGGGATAATTAGGCCTCCAAAATCTGCATCGATCTCTTCATCAGTAAGTAGGACTCACTCTAAGTGCTACTGGATATAAATACATATTTCAATGAATGAAAAAATAAAACTTTAACTTTTTATATGCATTTGAATTTGTTAATACATGTACATAGTAAAACCTTATGTAGCAGAGATGTAAGGAGGATGAAAATAATCTAGTACCATAGATCTTCCTTATCTGCAAGGTATGTATCTGACACCCTTATTGGTGCCTGAATCTGTGGGTAGTATCAAACCTTTTAATATTCTGTAGTTTTTAATGGACATATTTAACTATTTTAAAGTTAATGTATAAATTAACTGCAGTAACAAGTTATAATAAAATAAAGCAATTACAGCAATATGTTGTGGTAAATGCTACATAAATGATGATTTTCTCTTTCAAAATACTGTACTCACATTCTTTTTACGATACTGTGAGGTAATATAATGTTATGATTGGCTGCAGGAAACTAAAACTTCAGGAAGTAAACCATGGATAAGGTTAACTACTATGTTACAGACTTTGTATATTACATATGAATAATCATAGGAACTTGGTATGTACTTGGAGCCTTATTAGAATAGGGCAAAAATTTTTTTCTTCAGTGAAATGTAACATTTTTAAAAATGACATTACTGCATATGTGTTTTAAAATGTGTCAGTTTTTTATATGTTCATATTTTAGAGAACATTCTGGTTATAAAATGAAAATTTGTTTGATAGATTAATTATTGAAATTTGGGTTTGGCATGTCACAGTGGTACATAGAATATTAGTTAATTCCAGTAGCAGAAATTTGGTCAAAGAGAATATATGATGAACAGGAGCATGAAGCATTTGTGTAAGGCATTGGATACCACCCCCCCCCCCTTTTTTTTTTTGGAAAAGGAGGTTTTCTCTCAAATAACTCAGGTAACTGAGCTCTTTAGTCTTAATTTAAATGTAAATATTTTATGTTAAGCATGATAATCCAGATTGCATAACAGTTGAACTCTAAAACATTTTCTGAGTTTATATTTTTCAAGGTGTGCTAATTTGTTAAAGGTAAAATAGAAGAAAAAATATTTGAACTACCTTAAGTAAGTCATTTTTTCCTAATAAAAAGGCCTTAAATGTAAAACATGCCAAATTAGCCTAATTCAGTTGTTTAAATTATTTCATTATGATGTACTTTGTGTAAAATTCACATTTTAAAATTATTTTATTATAACTTTACATATATACCTAGTGGTTTTTAGTGTATTTACTATATTCAACCCCAATACAAGTTTTAATCCTTTCAGAAACTATTAAGAGTTAATACCTCCAACCTCTCACTCCATCTCTGATAACTGTTACCTACTTTCAATCGTATGGATTTATATATTCTAGTATTTTGCAGATATAAGATAATAAAACACCATTTTTGCTATATGGTTTCTTGTATTTGATATCCTATTTTCTAGGTTCATCCATTGAGTAGAATTTGATAATACTTCATTCCTTTTATGACTGAGTAATATTCCATTGTATGGATATTCTTTCATAAACTGATAGAAGTTTGTATTATTTTTACTTTTTGGCTATTATAAGTAATTTTTCTATGAACATTGATATATGTGTATTTAAATGAACATGAAAGTTCTTTTGGTAACATACCTAGAAATAGACTTACAGGGTCATATGGTAATAGTATATTTAAATTTTTGAGGAACTGACAGTTATTTTTCACTGTCTACCATTTTATATCTTCATTAGCAGTGTATACAGTTTTAACTTTTCCACATTTTTGCCAACCAACACTTTGATTTTCCTTTTTTAAAAAAATTATGGGCAATCTAGTGGATATGAAGTAATGTGTTAATTTATTTGCATTTTTCGGATAGTTAATGATGTTGAATGTATTTTTCATGTGCTTATTATCCAATTATGTGTGTTCTTTTTGGATATGTCTATTCATATCCTTTACATGTTTTAAAATTGTTTGTATGTATTTGTTGTGCTGAGATCAAAACCCATAGCCTTCTACATGCTAGGCAAGCACTGTAGCACTAAGCTATATGTCCAGACTTGAAAGTGTTTTTAATCAGTTGTTGAATTATCGAAGTGCCTTAGTTACTTTCTCCTTGCTGAGACACAATACCCAATATTCACAATGTAAGGTGGAAATTATTTTGGCTTACAATTCGTAGAGGTTTCAGTCCATAGTTGGCTAGCTCCTCAATAGGATGGCATGAGCAGAAGAGAAAGAGCTCATGGTGTGAGAGCAGTAAGCAGAGAGAGACTGGGGAGGAGGGTGGGAGATGGTATCCTTCTGGGCCACGCCCCCGTGGCTCACCTTCTCCCAGCATCACATTTAGCTATGAACTCATCAGTGGAGAATCCATTGATGAATATCATGCCTCCATGATCCAGTCACCTCCCCAAAGCCCCACTTACCAGTGCGTGAGGCTTTGGGGATTACAGCTAGAAATAACCTATAAGGTTTTTTTCAATGAATTCTGGAAATAAGCCTTTTGTCATACATACAGATTGCTAGTGCCTTTTCTCTTTCTATAAGTAGTGCTTTTTCTGTCTTGAGAGTATCTTTGGCACAGCAACAGTTTGCAATTTTGGTGAAGAATAGTTTTTTTATGTTTGATTGTGCTTTTGGAGTCATATCTGAAAAATTCAAGGTTATTTAGGTCACTTTTTTTCCTGAGAATGTTATAATTTTGGTTCTTATGTTTACATTTTTGAAACTTCATGAATTACTTTTGTCCATGGAGTGAGGTAGTGTCCATATTCTTCCTTTTGCATAAGAAAGCATATTTATTTAAAAGATAAAAAGCCATAATTATAAACCATTCTTTATTCAAATGAACATATTAAAAATTGGAACTTTATAATGTAATCTTTGATAAAAGTGTCATACATAGGAAAATAAAATCAGAATTAATCATGATAGTATTCCTAGCTGCCATACCTATGTTTCTAACAGTGTGATTAGAATGTAGTGTCTACAGTGAGATACTTATATCTTTATAGAAGAGAAATTAACTGATAAATCAATTTGCGTTTGGCTGTATATCATGTTTGATATGTCAGATAATTGATGTTTTCTCCTATTATTAGGGTAGTATTTAATATGTTTTATCAGCTTTAAGCATGGGCCTCTTTTTTTATTATACTAAAAGAGCTAAATAACTTATCATTAAAATCTCAGAGCACTGAGGTAAACTCCACATCTAGCATCTTCTCATCTCCCAATGTTATAATTTTTCATTGAGAACTCTTTCTTAGGGGCTGCTTTTAATTTTAGTTGCGGGAGAACTAAAGGTAATTCTCAGTGATGTCTATTGTTAATCACTGTAGAATTGAATCCATTCACTGTTTTTTTTTTTTTTTTTTTTAATTTTTTTATTCTGGAACTGAACTCATGACCTTGTAAGTACAAGGCATGTACTGCCGCCTTATCGTAGGGGCTGTTTTTAAAGTCAAAGACAGAGGTGTTGAACATTATTGATTATACCTTTTGAAAGTCTACTGGCAATCATGATGATCCATTTGAGTTGGAAGTCTTTTAATCGTACATTGAATGAAATCAGTTCTAGTGATGTCCAAGAATGCTGCCTTTTCTCCAGGGCCATCTCTTTACTGTAGAATTTTATCATGAGTGTCTGAGAAAACCCCTATTTCTATTTTATACCCACTGGTGAATGTTAGTTGTTTCACTGGTATGCAGAAGTATACTGCTTCTCTGATAGAAGCACATTCTGAAAAATATGTTTTAAAATAAAAAAGCATATCCAAATAATTTGTTATTTGTTCTTTAAACTTCAAAAAAAGCCTATTATTCAACTCTTTCTCCTTAAATTCATTTTTTTTCTATTGGCATGTTAATTTTGGAGTTCTAGTACTTTGAGCTAGAATTTAGAATATTTAAGTATTGTTAACATTTGCTTTTTATATGTAATAATATCATGAGTAGAATGTTTGCTAGCTTTTTAGAAAATTTTTGTTCCACTATGTTTAAGTTGTGTAGCAGTTACAATGTCAGTATTATTATAGCTATATCCCCATTCAGCATAGGGCAGTGCAATTAGTTATTTTCATATGCAACAAGCTACTTGCATTTTTCAGTATTCGCTTTGAGTTCAGCAGAGCAACCTAAATTAATTTCCTCTAATAAAACATGCTGAGGTTAAGTTAAACGTGGTATATTTTAAGCCTTAGTTCTTGTGAAATAAGGTCTTAATTTACTCGTCATTAAAATGTAGAAACAAGAAAAAAATGAAGTTTTTTTAACATTATATCACAGCCATACACTGAATTCTCCTGTATAGTTATATTTAATAAAGTTAAATATTCTCTGAGTTGCATGTTTTGAGTCACTTGCTTTTTACTACATAATTTCTAAGAAGGGCAAGTAGGATTTATTTTCTGTGACTTTTCGTGTGAGAGACCAAATCCGTTTGCTCAAATGCTTAACAAAATTGCACAGTTCATAATAGTCTGATACTATGTTTTATGGGGCAATCCCAAACTAATGTTAAGTGTTTAAATTTACAGACATATGATTGTATGCTGATTCATTGTGATGATCTGGAATAATTTCAGTTGAAATATGTGATGTGAAATTAACTCTGACTGTAGTTAATTGATGAAAATGTATTATTTTTATATTGTGATACATTTTAAACATAAAATATATGACTTTAAAGGAAGAATATGTGATAGAAAAAAATGAGACTAACAAAAACAATATGGAATGATGAGAGCAGATGAATGAGAGAAGCACAACTGGAAAAAGTAAATGTATAAAAATAATATAATAAAGAATGTAATTATTAAACAAGGAAAAATGAGTAGAGGAACTATAGTAGTTGGTAATAAAAGAAAGAAGTCAGAGTAAACCAGAATATATTAAAAGAAAGCAGATGTGTTAGAAACAAAAGTTTAGAAAAATATATTTTCTATTGAAATATTGTCTCTTTTCATAAAAGTACACAAAAGGGCAATCTAGGAAATCAGAAATTGTAGATGTAAGTAATGTTCAA